GTGCTCGGCTCCGAGATAGGCGGGCGTTGGAACGAAGCAGCGCAGCAGCCCGTCAGAGACTTGGCACGTGTGCGAGCCCAACGCGCCCCGCCGGCACTGCGAGCCGCAGCTACCTCCGCCTCGTGACGAGACGGTGGTGGGCGACTCTGGCTGTAGCGGTGCAGCAAGCTGTGAGCAGCTCGGCGCTCGGAAGCCCGTGGCCCGCGCACCCGCACGCGTGCCAGCTTCCGGGCCCGGAACTCGACCGTGTGCTCGACCTCGCCGAAGCCGCGGGGCCGAGCCGACTGCCGCTCCGGCCGTAGCAGCCCGTAGGCTTTAGGACTTAGGCAGCCCGTGGGAAGGCTACGGACGCCAACGGCAGCAGGAAAAAGGTGCGAAAAAAAATTAACCTGGGGCTCAACACGCAGCCTTGCCGAACACTTGCATGAATATTGGAATCTCTGCTGTGTCCAGACTGCCCAATCACTTGACCCAGCTGATCACAATACAACGCAAGTGTGCTGAAACTCCTTGGTTAGCAAGTGCTTCCCAATCAATCCGGTCGAATGCCATTTGATAATAAGTCAAAGCAGATAATCCACACCGGCAGATTTGCTGCTTCCGTTTTCTCCACCACATACCTCGCCGTGAGGAAGTGCTCTTCAGTGCGGCGATGTTTTCGAAAACCATGTTGTTCTTCAGGCTGTGCGTTGTCCAGCGTGTCCTCAATCCTTGCCAAAATCATGTACGTGAAAAGTTTGTACAGAACCCGAACATTTGCAATCGGACGGAAATCTGTGGTGCTCTGTGCCCCGCGACGACTGAGGCAACATCGTAAACAATGTGCGGCTCCATGTGCATGGTGCGTCGCCCGATTGTAGAACATGATTGTACAATTGCAACAGGCAACACATGAAACCATCGGAGCTGTAATGTACTAGTCCTGCAACCACCCCTACTTCATCGCACGCTTTGTCGAACTTCATCTGCTGGATGGCATGCTGCTTGCTTCAATTCATCACGTGTAAACGGAACTTCGTCGTGAGCGGAATCACGAAACTTTTCGCAGGATGGACGTGAAGAACCAGTGATACATGCAGAATCCAACAATACGCGCTCGGCAGCTTCAAAAGATCGGATCAACTTGCGATGGTATCGTCCAGGCAGGGCTTGAGAATCCAACTTGGGGCGCCGACCCTTCAAACCAGGTCTACGCGAAAAAGTTTGCATTCTGAGTGTCCAGCACGGAGCACGCAACGCAATGATGATCAGTACCGATTGGAACTGCAAAATTGTCCCAAGATCGTGTAGCTTCCAAGTTGGATATTATGTAATCAACCTGAACACGCGTGAGGTCCGTGGAACGGCAACATGTCCAAGTGTCATGGTCTGGAGAAGTATTGTGCGTACAGCTGGAAATATGAAGCCCATGAGCTTGAATTTTTTTTTTTGTCGCGCCTTCTTGCGTCTGCCAGAAGGCACTGTCTTCAGTCGTCTAGAACCGGCGCTCAAGCTGCGTTCACGCTCGGAACGGCAGCATGCTGGGCACCGCAGCATCAGCGAGGTCCAACACGAGCTCGAAGGCTGGATCGTCTGCCGCTGCGCGCAACGCAGCCGGCCACGCCCGACGTGCCGCCGGTAGGGCGGTGGCGCGTTGGTCCACCAGCGCCGAGCCCAAGCGGTAGCCGCTGCATGGCGGAGAGCGGGCGGGGCGCGGCGGCAGGGCGAATGGTGAGCAACCTGGCGGTGAAAGGGCCGGACTGTGAGTCGAGAAGTGCTAGCTCCGCAGGCCCGACGTCGCGGCGGTGCTTGGCCGAGGCGCGATCATCGAGGACGCGAGAAGCAGAGCGTTGCCAGCCCCGATAGGAGACATCGGTGTTGTCGGGGTCGGCATCGTCCGTGGCAGGTGCAGGACCATGCCGGGGCAAGTCAGCCCACCGCGGAACCGCAAAGCCAACCTCCGCAGGGGCATCAGAGGCTTGCGCTGGGTCTCGCACAGGCGACCACTCGAGGACACTCTGTCGGAGAAAAAGAAAACGAATTTGGTGAAGCCTTGATCCGATTTCCCACCACTTCAAACCACACCCTGCTTTCGTCTGGCCTCTGATTCGTGATCCATGCGTTAGCAAAGAAAAGAGCCACAAAAACCCACTTCCCCACCCACCCCCACCCCCACCCCCACCCCCACCCCCACCCCCACCCCCACCCACACCCCCACCCACNNCGCACACACGCACACACGCACACACCCACACACACACACACACACTCACTCACTCACTCACTCACTCACTCACTCACTCACCCACTCACACACACACACACTCACACACACTCACACACACACACGTTGCGTTAAATCGTCCGTGAAATGGTGCAGCAAGTTCTGAACAAAATGCACCAGGGTCTGGTCCTGGGGGGAAACACGAGGCAAAACGATCGAGCATTCCACCTATACAGCCTGTTTTGAAATCCCTCACTCCACGAACTTGCTGCACATTTTTGAGTTCAGCTTGCACGCCACCACTCTGCGCATGACCCCAGGTGACCACAGATGCATCGAGCCGCATGGCAGACAAAGACATTGGATTGGATCTGCTGCGCACGTTTGAGCCGATCTTGCACGACGCTCGCCGCCGGCGGCCGGAGATTGCAGTGGGTGAGCACAAGAAGCTAGTGCACGAGAAGGAAGATGACTTGGGTGGAGCCCCAGTGCAGCGCGAAGTGGATGAAAGGAAAGCAAATGAGTTGTCCATCTCATCCCGATGACAAGCCAATCATCAAGACATGCAAAGGCGGGGGGCGATCACACACGAGGCTCGAAGCAGCTTCCAGAGTCCACATTGGCCGCAACAAGACCCCATGGAAACACTGCTTTGGCTCCGTAGCACTGCACGCTACCCGCCGGTCCTGCCTGGCGCTCCTTCCGCTGCCTGCAGCTGCTGTTGCTCTTGGGTCGTTCTGATGTCACGACACCTGCGCCGACTCATGTGCCTAGTGTACAGCTTCACTAGCTAGCTGATCAGGAAGGTGTCTGAACGACCCCGTAGATTGGGAGGTCGGCAGCACTGTTCCGCGAGCCGAACGTTTTGGGCCCGCGATTCCATCCGTTGAAGGAAGAAAGGACACAGTCGTGACGGCGGTCATGAACGGAAAAGATGATCGGCATTTTGCCTCTGCAGGACATGGAGCACAGCGCAGCAACCTTCGCGACCTACGAAGGTCGCACAGAGCATCTTTACACTAAGTGTTTGGTCACGACCGTCTGCGAGGCAGAATGCCCCGCATGAGTTGGAAAGTGGACGGCACCGGCGCGTCTGGAGCTCACTTTGTCGCGACGCTTTTGCTGACATCAGTTGTGGAGCTATTGGCACGTTAGCTTCGGCCTCCACGGTTTAATGTCTGCAGAGCATTTCTTGTCTTATGGACTGTGTGCAAGCCATGTCTGATCTGCGCTTTGCTCTTCTTGAAAAGCATTAGATACTTTTGAAGTTGTTCAGGCCCGCAACCTTGGGATTGTTTCGCTCAAGAGTGTCTTTGCTTGAGCAACTCTCCGTCAATAGGGCAGTTGCGACAAGTGCCAAAGAATGCACTTAAGCAAGCGATTGCATCAGTGTCAAAGCCTGCTAAGCGAGTATGGGCATGTCATCATTTACTCATTATTCTTCTTCTGCCGCTGTTCGGCTGCGGCGTGCGTCCCTTGGAGCGAGAACAATTTGTGCCTTGGAAGCCATCTGCACTCTTTCCTCTTCCAGTGGGGCCGACGGCCAACCTACATGGCCAGATGCAGATCTTCGAAGTTCAAATTCTTTTGCGCTCTCTCAGATGTAGGATTGGTCGGTGCAGCACAATCAGGAGTTCACCACTCCACCAATCTGCTCCGCATGCGATGGCAGGAAGGGCTGTGATCTTTCGGGGTGCGCTGTGCTGATACCGGGTTCTGCACCTTGAGCTTTCCATGGTTCTGTTCGCCTTTCTGGTCTCCATGCTTGTTTCATTCGCCTTGAGCCGCATGGTGCTGCAGCACTAAGGCAAATATTCCTTTCCAAGAGGGAGCGGGTAGGCCTGACGACTGGCAAAATCCTCAGAACTCGGAACGTGTTCGACTAAGAGGTTTCGCATTTCGCTGCGCATCGCGATAAGGCTTGTCCGACAGCTTCCGGCTTTTGAAGCTTTGAACCGAGTGCAAGGCTGCAAGAGGTCACCAAAAAAGGCACTGTTTTGTCAAACTCTCGGGCATGCTGAGGCCCGCTCCGTGGGACAAGTCCAGAACGCTTCTGAAGCTCAAATCGCACAGCGAGTCTGGCCCCCATGGCTTCTGAAATGAGTCTGACGTATTTGGTTGTTTTTGTCTTTGTGAAGGTCGATCCTAAAGTGCAAGGATTGCTGAGTCGCCGTCGTGATAGCACTTGCTCTAGCTACGTTAGCTTTCCTACAGGCAAACTGCCAAGCAGTTTGCCGGGGCCGCTCACCAGCAAAAGCAATCAAAAAGAGATCGGAGAAAGGACTCAGAGGAGTAGGGATGCAGAAATGCAGGATGCTTGCGGGATTCTGGCAGCCCAGTCGCGAGATCTGTGGGTGATTCGTTGAATCCGAAGCTTGTTGAAGCTCAGACAGCTATCTATCTCTGCATGTGCCTCAACAGGGCTTCCAGAACGTACTGAAATCCTTTTGCCCCCACAAAACATCTGTGCCTGTTGTTGAAAGTCTGCGTTTGTGGGTGTAGCTCTTGCACCGCACGAGGAAGTGCAGATCATAGAGCCTTGCTGCCCAAGAAATAGCACGAACTGTCATGCTCTCTACATCCAGCGATCCTTTTGATGTTGCCGCCGACCTGGTCATGCCAAGTGGAGCATGAGTCAGTCCCGATTGTCGATATTGTCCGAAACATCAAAGCAACAGTAGAATCTACTCCTCGGGTTTGTATAGCAGGTAGCAGTTTTGGAAGTTCGGTCGGCATGGTTGCATAGCACTCCCATGTTAAGTTAGCGTGGCTGTCACAACGAAACATCACTGCGCAAGCTGATATCGTCGGGCATAATGGCATACAGCAGTTGTGTGACAGTCGCCAAGGCAAGGGATGAAGTGGAAGCAGCAGTCCGCAAGGCTCCAACTCGCAGAGGGCCGGATGATTTGAAAATTGGCCAGTTGCCGCAGGTGCGGGGTATGCACAAAGAGCACGGCCCTCCGTTGTAGCATGAGGGAAGCGAAGCACAGACTTGACTAGCCCAGGTGGCAGCGATTGCTGCAGAATGAGAACACCACGGAAAGTAGCCGCTTCAAGGCCGGATTTTGCGCCAGTTGCCTGGCAGCTTGGTTCAAAAAGCACCAGCATATGTTTACAGAGGAATGCCACAAAGACCTCCTGGCCGAGTTGGCACAGCTCAGCGGCGATCTTGCCGAGGCTTGGGTGGGAGGGGCATCAGAGTGCAAATGCAGACAGCACGATGCAGCATGGCAGTGGCAAGGTACAACAGAGCATCAAGGCGGGACCGTCGATGACAGCGCCTTGAGCTTGGGCTGGTGTGCATGGAGGCTGTGGAGGACAACCGAGATCGGTTCCACCTCAGTGATGCCCAGCTCGCGACGAGAAAGGACCATCGTCGTCACTTACCGGTACCAGCCGGAGTCCCCAGCCGAATTGAGCTTGAGGATTTTTTGGCTGCCAGTGCGGCCCCTGGAGGGTAGGTCTTCATGGGTACGTCTTCTTGTCGAGAGATGTGTGCATAACAGCTTCGGGGACAGGTGCCTTAGAAAGAGTCGTGCAGCATTCTCGCGAGGCCAGATGGCACACCAGGAGATCAACTCCAGCTTGTCGAGCGCTGCGGTACAGAACAAGTTTGACGAGGCGCACTGCCACGACAGCAGATTGCGGCATCAACGAGCATCTTCTTGCCGTGCCAAATGCCACGAGGACCGCAGGCAAGCCCTCCTCCGGAATCAAAGACAGGCGAAAGAGACGGCAGAGAGGCAAGAGTTTTACTCGATGTGCTGAAAGCTTCAGGGCATCTCTTTTCAAGCCTGGCCCCAGGAATCTGGCTCAGGAAAGCAAAGCCTTCCTGGAGGAGCAGCGCTTGCTGCAGAAGCAGCTCCTTGCACAGCAGGAGGACCAGAGCTTTCTGATCGGCTCTTTGCTTTACGTGCAGCACCGTGCGCCCTTAGCAACATGTTTCATGGCCTGAGCACGAAAAAGGCTATAAGTGTGAGCAACCTGTTTGCAGCTTTCTTGGCACAAGCCAGACGTCATGTTCCCCAGACGCCAAGCTCCGCTTATTGCGTGTGACTGCACAGCGCGTGCCTGCGATGAACCTTGTTGCCGTGTCCTTTGCAACTGGCCACTGAGCGCTCCTCAGGTGCAGTTAGGCTCCAAAGACATCAGAGACCATGTCGGGCCCAATGGGTGGCCAGGCAGACTTGCTGTTGTCAGCTGCAGAATGTTGCAATCGAGCTCGTAGCTAGTTGACTTCGAGTTGAAGGCAGGCTTGGTTCGCACCAAGCCGGTTAGCAACAGGAGAATGCCCACCCGAGGCACGCGTCCAAAAGGGGTGAGAGCTTCCGGTTCATACTGCATGGCTGCACAGGTTTCAAGATGGGTAGCTATGTCCGAATCACGTACAGGCTGGAGATTCGAGCAGCTGCATGAGCTGCTATGCACTGCGGTACCAGGTGTGCAGGAAAGCATGGCGCTGAAGAAGACAATGCTGACTACGAGGGCACCACCATGAGCATTGTGGTTCTCGATTTGTTTGAAGATGGCCTGTCCAAGCTGATGCCTGTGCAGGAAAGCTAGTGGACAAGCGAATTGGCGGAGAAGACAGGGAGTCGTTCATCACTTTGAAGGCGCTACCTGCGATTCAGAGCCAGCTGAAATAGTTGTGAATGATTGTGCTTGTCGCACTGGCAGGATTGCCTTGTTTTCGATCTCACTGGGAGGTTCATCGAAAAGCTGAAGCTTGGACAGGAAAAACTAGAAGAGTCGCCGTCAGTATCGCCTCAACCGTTTCTAGCCTGGGTGAAGTTTTGGCCGCGACTCGTTACCACGGGTGAATTCCGTACCTCTAAGGATCCTTGTCAATGATCTTCCCTTATGTGCGACCTTCTCTCTGAGCTGATAGATTTCCAGCTTTGGACACTACCCGTCCCAGATACTATATTGATTCGTGTGTACCTTTGCGATTGAGTGTGAACGGCAGAGGGCCTACTGCATACTGTGTACTGTGGGCTTGAGACAACTCGCCAAGAACTCCAACTCCAACGCAAAATCGGTGTATGGAAAAAAGGGGTCAGTACGTTTGCTTTTCGTGCACACGTCCAAAGTAAAAAAACTAGCTAACCGCCCGGGTGCGACGGTTCAGGTAACAGTTCTCTTCACGACATGCATGGTTGCCGAAATCTGAAAGCTGGACTTTACATACTGAGAACCTTTGTCATGTTTTCGACATGGGAACCTATGCATGTCTGGAACGCGATGAAAAAGATCAAGGAGCTGGTCTCGCCCACATGTTCAGCCTTGTTATTCTCAAAGTTGTGTACGGTTGGATCTCCCGCATGAGGGCTCACCGTTTTTTGGCGAGTTCTGGGGCACTCGTGTGTCGGAGGACATTTGGGATTTGCAACTCGGTCACCAATTTTGAAGTGAAGAACTTGCAAGTTTACTTGGAACCAACGTCTGCGGCCAGCAGCAACGACTTTCCTCTGGCCCAAGTGACAATGTCCATTATCTCGTGACCAAACAACATAGCAGTCTCATACAGGCATTGGAAGAAGAGATGAGCGCCACGAAACAATTCCACATCAGTGCGATGACCACGCCACCAGCCAGCCGAGTGATGAGATGTTTTTGTTCGGTTACCCACAACTTGCTGTAGTCAAGCGAGCATGAGTTTACCCAACGTCAATACTTTCAGCAACGACGGGGCCTTCAGTTTGGCGACAGCGCAGATGGGTATATAATCCCCAAGCCGCCAAGATCCGATCAAGATTGGCCTGTTCACCCGCCGACAAATCCGAGTGCCACTGCTGAACATGGGAAGTCCATGTAATGAGCTTGGCACGATTGGCCTTTGACAAAGTGACACTGTCAATCCATGCGATAGCTTCTTTGTCGTTCTTGCACTGCCGCCAATGCCTGAGTAAAAAACCTTCCCGAAGTCGTTGCCGATGATGAAGGAGACATGAGAATATGTGCCACTCCGGCTCGATATCGAGGACGGCGACTTGATCTGTAACGATTGCTCCGGTGTAGCCTGCTATTTGGACGCCTTGCCTTTTTCAAAAGCATTTCACAGATTGGCTCGTGAATTGCTAGCATCCGGCTTGAGCAACCGTGTAGAACCATCAAGAGAATCATTCGTCGAAATCTGCGGACTTGGTACATCCCCACAAAAAAATCCGGTATTCACCGGCAAGGTAACCCCCGACCTCTTGTCGTCAACTCTCGGCGAGGCCATCTTATTACCTGCTAAAAACTGCTGAAACCAACGGACCCGACTGCGTCTGTGATGGCGTGTTCTGAAGCCTGCCAATTGTTCTTGCAACAACGTCACTTGATCCTTCCATCCTTGCACCGCTGGGTCTAGCATAACTTGTGGAAACAAGCCGGCCATGAACTCGCACACCTTGGCCGCATGCGCCTGAAACGCTTGAACACGCTCATCATTCCTCATATGCTCACCGTCTGCGAGCCTGATACATGTGCGGCAAGTTCATCAAGGGACGCACTTTTTCTTCACGAAGCTTGGAAAATAGAGCTTGACGGAAGACGACCTCAGGTACACTCCGAAATCCGGCAAAAATATCGTTGTCTGTGCCGTTTCTTCTTCCTGAGCGGTGCGTTCGTCAAGAAGTTCGACAACTGCTTCGTCAAATCCTGGCTAACATGAAAAAGGTGCACGACCACGTAAGTGCGTCACCGAGGAAGATTTGTATTAAAGGCCTTGGCAAATCGTTTGGCTTTGCGTAGCTGCGTGTGCCCCTGTCTGTGCCGTTGCTGAACGAAAGAGTCCCGGATACACCGGGTCTTGCCCAATGTGTTTATGGTGAGAACCGGACTTCTTGCAAGAGCGGTCGCCGAGCTATGCCTTGACCCGGCTGTCATTCTATGCCGCACGGTGCTTTATGCCGACACTGCGCCGGCCTGATTCCTTACCACATCCCCGCCACTGCGGTACTCAGTCGCAGTCATCTTAAGATCAAGGATTTGTTGTTCTCTCACAAGCAGATCTTGAAGGCGTGGAATCATAACATATCGGCACAAGGGGCAGGGTTGAAGTGCTGTTGCCAATCCGTGCTTCGAGCTCATCCGAACCTTTCAGTTGTTGATGGTCATGTTGCATCCGCGGTTACCTTGCTGAGTTTGCCTTCATGAGAACCTATGCATGTCTGGAACGCGATGGGAAAGATCAACGCGCTGGTCTCGCCCACATGTTCATCGTTGTTATCTTCAAAGTTGTGTCCGTGGCATGGTGGTCCAGAGTTACGGCATGTTGCGCTGCACGCTCATGTTCGGCCGGAAATTTCGGTGGCCACAAAGCGGACCCTGCATCTCTTCGAGTGCATGTCAGCTCTTTTTGGTCTTGTCGTCGGCTAAGGAAGTCAAAGAAGTTAATTGATGCATACGTGCAGACGTGCGAGTATGCGGAGAAGCGCGACAAAACGCCAGACCGTCAGGCAGTTGCTGTCGTAGCATGCCCGTCAGCTTGCGTATGCTTTTTGCTTGTTCAGGGTGCAGCGGCAGGAGGAGCACCCCAAACATTCTTCCCCTTTCACGAGGTTGGATGCAGCACCGTGCAAATTCTAACACTGCTTTCTGATCCAAATTGAGCAGGCCGGGGGGGTTCAGCAAGCCAAAGAAGGCAGGACCTGCGGCACTGTTGCAGACAATGCTGTTTTCTCTTCTGACACTGAGTAGGAGTGTTGGGTGGACGGTCGGCGCGTGTGAGACTCTTCCTTGATTCTTCGGAGTAAGCGTGCACCAGCGATGAGGCAACGAGCCCGCGGATGATGACGACTCCGATGACGAGCCGGCATCAGGCATGATGCCTGGAATGATGCCAGGTGTCTTGCAGGAACAGTCTTTGGTCAACTCAAACCCGACACCAGTGATCTCCAATGATTAGTGATGGGTGATCGCCTGTGAGTAGTGACTATCTATTCTTGGTTGCAAGTGCCGGATGACTGGTGATTCATGACCATCTATTGACTATGCAGCTTTTGGATGCTGCTGGATGGCAGCTTGTGATCCTTGACTTGTGACCGGTCATGTGTGACTGGCCTGTGGTGTGATGTGGCCGAGCCGTATCAGTACTCGTCAGTGCGATCATGCCGAAGCCCTTTTCTGGTGTCGATGAAGCCTTGCGTCAATGGGAAGTCGCCTTTGAAGGTCCAGCATGCCTCTTCCGGCCCCGGCTAAGTAGCCAGCATGCCGTCTGCGTGCTATGGCTAGGTTCGTGAGTTCAGTTTTTTGTTGGTGTGGTTTGCCTTGCCATGTCGTATGTATGTATGCATGCATGTCAGCACGGCTGATAGGCTTGTATGTCTGCATGTGTGTATGCATGCATGTGAGTGTATTCATATGTACATAAAACATATGATTTTACATGTGCAGAACAGAAGAACCTTTGTGTTTATATAAGTTTGTACATATTCAGGTCTCTGTCCATGCGCGAGCACCACCGAGGCATGATGGGAAGTATGCCGATGGGAGGATGTGCCTCGGCGCAGTGCCTGGTCTCTTCGGGGTTTTCGTGGAGTTGAAAACTGTGAGCCTGCCGCAAGTAAGGTATGGGCATGCCAATGATGATGATGCCGATGATGCCAGGCATGATGCCGGGCATGATGCCGGGCATGATGCCCGGAATGATGCCGGGGATGATGATGTCGGGCCCTTGCAACGCAATGCAAGGCTGCTCGCCTGGCTGTTCGTCAATGCAGGGCATGTCTGGTCCCAATGCGATAGGCTGCGGGCAGGCGCCCATGCAAGGTAACGCACCAATGCCAGGCGGCATGGGCATGCTGCAAGGAAATGCGCCAGCCGGTGGAATGGTCGGGCCGGCCATGTCAATGCAGCCCGGCAGTCCTCCTTTGCCTCCCCCCAGAGCGCCTTCGGGCGGCCCGGCCTTAGGGGCACCGCCGGCAGCTGGAGCCGGGGCGCCTGCTTCCGCAGGCGGACCGCTTACTTCCGATGCACCAGGGCTTACCAGTCCTCAGCAGCCGCAGGCAAACGGATCCTTTGCTGCACTTTTCGCCAATTTTTTTTTGAGCTTGTGTCTAAAGCGCCGACCCCGCACCTTTCCACCCCTTGCCTTGTTCATCTCTTTCAATGCAAGGTGTCAGCACCGCGTCAAGTGGTGTGGAAAGAGAGCGAAGTCGCAGCCGCGGCTGAGAGCGAGTTCGCCAAGTAGTTAGTTTCCGGCACATCGCATGCATGATGTTGCGCGAGTTAGCATGGAAGCTCGTGAAGCTGGGCTTAGTCCACAACACCAGCGGAAAAGAAACAGGTCGTGAGACCGCACTCCAGAGAGGCACAAGCCTGGTAAGGGTGCTCTTTGTGCATCGGCCAGGACGAGCTGCAGGCACTTGAGAAGGGTGCTCAAAGACTCGGACAGGCCGGGGCCGGAAAGAACACGTCATGAAGTCCAAGTGGAGCGCAGGGCGTAGGCTGATCGAGCTCTTGTTTTACGATTCGACGCCGAACGATGCTTCCCTGTTTCTCGATGTCGAGTTCAAAGGTCGCCTACACGATCAACGGTGAGATCGAAAGCCAATGGCTCGGTCTTTGCGAAACGAGTCAACCCACCTGAGGGAGCTAAAGTTTCAACAGATACCCCACTGCCGGCCCACCCACTCCCGACTAAGACCATGTCATGTGTGAGGATGTTTCATCCGCTGACAGCTAGTCAGCTAGTGACTATAGCTATGAGGTCAGCAAAAACTGCTAGACGAGTCTGGCCCTGAGGATCTGAATCTGTTCACGCGAGATAAGGGAAGGACTTCAGTCGATTCGGAATTCAGTTCGCCGAGACACGCCGGTGCTTGAGCTTGGAGGGAGCTGGCATGTGCCTGTCTGCTCTGCGATTTCCTGCGAGTGTCCATGTGACCTTTCGTGGTCGCCTGATATGCCTGATGTCACAAATTCGACTCACTTGTTGTGTAACTCGTTCTTGTGCGCAGGAACACGTTCCATAGGCGATCCGCCCTTGAACTCTGGCCAACGCTATGTGCGCAGCCTTCCTCTTGGATTCTTGGTGACGCAGGCGGCGCTTGTGGGGCATGCACTCTCTTCCTCATTCTTCCTCAATATGTCGTTGCGGGACTTAGCCTGCACCGGCATCTGATTCGACGACGCGGCTTAGCACGTCAGAGGCAAGGCGAGCATCTTGCCACAAATCAAGCGCAGCCCACCTTCAATTCCCTCATTCCTTTCGCTCGGCGGACCGCGACACCGCCGTGCTCCACTCGGACGGTTCTTCGGAACTGGCTAGTGGAGACGGCGCTGGACGCGGGCCGACGGTGCCATGTACCAACTATCTAAAAGAGGCTTCAGAGAATACATGTTTTAAGCATGGTTCGGTTGAAGCCTTCACTGTTCAAGACCCAAATCTGCAAAAAGAAGCCTCCGGAAATACAATTTGCACAAAGTACAAAGCGCGCCCTCGTTGTGGCCAGAGCACGACTTGTTAGCAGAAATGATCTTGGAACCCTCTACTTCCAAGACGCCCAGAACAAAACAAACGCAAAAGATCCGAACGGGCTCCGATCGAAAACGCAAAGATTGCACGAATTCTAGTGTTTTCGACACCTGCGAAAAGCTCCTCGTCCCTGAGAGGTTTGCATTTTGCTGGGGTTTTGGCATGTTTTGGCCATGCGACCGTGGCGCATTACCAAAAAGATCGTGTCCAAATGGGGATGCCGTCACCATGTTCTGCGGGGCGGGGTGCAGCTTCAGCCTCGCACGGGGTATATGTTGCGAGCACCAAGGTCGTACATGAATGGCTGGAGTTCACAGAATCTGACCTGTTAGCCTCTTGTGCAGCTCAGGTTGAACCAGGATATCGAGAAGGAGGCAGAATCAGTGTGGGTTTTGTTGGGATTGGCATGATTCCGATTTCTGGACCCGTGCTCAGATGGAGCGAATGGACGTCGTGACAAAGGGAATGGGAGCTCTGTTGAAGACGAGCAACAAGCCACACCGACCACGGTTGATCGGACACGCCCCCTACATCATCGTGCATCTGTTTTCGAGGTGTGGGGTCCCAGGTTTGGAAAGGGTTCGGGACATACCCCATCCTACAGTGATCGACAGGATGCACGAGGCTGGTCGTCAAAACTCAGTCTGCCTCAGCTTCGTATGCAAACGTGCCATTAGACAAGCGATGCGAGAGCGGTGTGCCAGGGCTCAGATTTATGCAGTGGGCGGCGCCATCGTTCTATTCGTCATCCTCGACACTTAGCTGCAATCTTACGGGTACTACAGCCTCGACGGCGGTTGTAGTTCCGTCCTGAGTCATGGACCTCGTGCATTCCATGTCTAAAGGCAGCCAGTCTCGTGCACCATGTGCTAAGTGACTCGTCATAGGCAGCGGTTAGGCCATCTCGTGTGGCTGAACGATGCTGAAACTTCGCAAGTTGCCTCTTCAATAACATTTGGTTTCAGACCTCTGTGGACCGCTCTTCCCATGCGGCCCGTTCTCTGCCAACTTTGGGCAACTTCAAAGGTAGACTGGATGTGCGCCGCTGTCAGGCCGAAGTGTCGCGTAGTTTTGTTTCCTTTGCGATGATCACGGCTCCCCGAGTTTTCAGGCAGAGATTCACGGAAGAAGTTCTAGGCTTGTAAACAACAACAAAAACTGTTGTCTGCCGCGGATGTGATGCAGAGCAGTTGCTTGACGAGGTCTTCCTCATCCTCAATACTTGATGCGAGTTCAGCCGGACACGAAGCGGTCCTGTCTGCTTGTGCATGTCTTCGCTTAATATGTTGAACTGAATCAGATCGGACAGGCAAATAGTGGGCAACGACGAAAAGAGAGTGTGTGTTGCTAAGCTGCTTTCGTGCATTCACGCTGTGCAAGCTTAGTGCCCTCGAACCAGTCGTTCATAGTCGTGCATGCTTGCCGATGCGGTTCAAGATTTCCTCCATGAACAGGTCCAGCAGCCGTACTCTGCTTCAACTGTGTGAGCAGCTGCTTAGCAGCTACTTTGCCTGGTGAACCATGTTTGTTTGCTGAGATTTTCCTTTGTCAATGCACACAGTGAGTAGAAGCTCTTGTTTGATGTGTGAGAAGTAATTAACCGCTGTGCGAGAGAAGCGGCACCGCGCGCACGACAAGATTGATGGGACACCATCAGCCGGAGCGATGGAGACCATGGAGATGCAGCAGGAGCTTGCAGGCTCGGAAGGACCTGGTCCAAAGGACAGGTGCTTTGCTGCCTCGAGGTTCGCCATAGGCACAACGAGATGTATATCTGATCTGCGGCTTCGCCAACATGCTCTCAAAGATGGAAGGACTATCACAAAAACATCCGGTGTATCTTTGTGTCGCTCTTCTTCGGTGTCACACTGCTGCGGGAATGCAATTCTCGACAAGTTATTTCAGTCATTTCTGTTAGTAACCACGGCCTTACATGTCTGTTGTTTTTTGAGCAGGTCAGCAGTGACGCTTGGTCCACTGTTTGATGCTTACTTGCTGAACATCGGAGGAGTGTGCCTATCTTGCAATCAGGGGCTGGGAGATGGAGATGCTGCTCTTTTTGCTCTTGGTTCGTTGGCTCTTTTTCTCGTTCCTGTAAGGAATGGCAACAAGCTGGTCGGTGCCGTGGAGTCCACGTGCCTTGTATGCATTGGTGCTGGGAGACATCACGCTTCTGAGCTTGAGCTTCCAAGGCGGGGGATTCTGCAGCTCGTGCTTGCATATCCCATCGGAGCCGTGTGACTCATCTGAACGACTCTGAGTTTCAGGTTTTTTCGAACCTTTGCGGTCCAGGCCCTCGCCACATGGCACGTCACACATACGACATATGCCATCTGCCTTTACTTTTCCTTGCAGAAGCCGAGTCTTCGCCGAGGTCTGACAAGATGTCAAGAATTCGGCTGCTAAAGTTGGACTTGCCATTTTGGACTCTCGGCTGCTTGGCCGAGCATGTGTTTCTTTTGCAGACATGCTTCCTGTGAGAACCTGTCATGGCCACAAGGACTGGGCTTGCTGATCATTGGAGTGCTGCTAGACAGCCTGCCTCTGCTGTTCATTGGCATCGGGGTTTGGGTGGCTTGGTTCACAGTAGTTGTATGCATGGCATTGCATTGAGAGCAGCCTGTGCTAAATTTCCTTTGTCGTTTTGACTCAGGCGCCCTGCTCCCAGTGCTGGAACAGCAGCATGACGGCATGTCAGGTTTCCAGGTGTGTGGACTCGCGGACTGCCGGGCATTGGCAAAGGGAAAGGAGCAGGAATTCGGTGCCCACAGTTGGCTTTTCGATTCGAGAACCTGCCACGGTCATCTACAGTCTCCTCCTCCCTCTTAGGCCTGCGGTACCTCCCCTGTACTGGAAGCAACATTTCCGTTCGATGGCGTTCGGATAAGATCTCGGAAAGTGCCCGAAAAGCTTAAGCTGTGCTTTCTGGATGTGACGTATGATGGGTGGATGCTCGGGGAAGCGACCGTCTTAGCGAAAGCGAATGTTTTGTTTGGTATGTGGGTCTGATGTGGAGCATTTTGCAGCGGCACTGTGAGTGGAGAGCTCAAGCCTGCTGAAGTCGCCTGTTGTAAACTGGCAAATCCAGGCCGTATATGGCAAGTGAAATGAAGACCGCATTGTCCATGTTGTGCTAAAATTGGTGCAGTGCGTGGAAGCGTCGCAGTGCTTTGGAGAGTCGAGTGGTGTCTCTGTGTATAGAGGCGTCGCTGTTCGGGTAACCCTCAGATGTTTTGCGTCACTTGGCGGTGGGGACATGTGGGGACTGGTGTGTGGTCTTGAAAGGTCACTCTGCTCTGTAGGGCTGGCTCTTCGAGATTGCCACTGAAAATTTGGATCTATTATGAGGTAGACCTGGCAGCTGTGGTCGACCACCTGTTACAAGCGACTGTGTAGGATTTGGCAAGACGTTTGTATGCTGTGCTGAGAAGTGAGACTCGTCTGGAACTGGAAGGGTCCATGAGCGGGCCATTGCCTTTGTAGATCTCAACCGTCCTGGCTCCGTGCCAGTCTTCTGGGGTGGCTGTGAGCGAGGATTGGTAAAAGACGCGTCGAAGAGCTTGGAAAAACTACGAATCAGAGACCGGAGGGTCCAACAGACCAGAGGGCGCGAATAAGAGACCACAAGAGCGGTTTCCGAGACCGGTCTCCGGAAATCTTCGGAATCAGGCCGCCTGGACTCAGAGACCAAGCAGGGTCGAATCAGAGACCAAAGCTTGTTCAATCAGAGACCCGGTTACCTGATTCGACCGTCACCCGCTTTCCTGGTGTCCTGCACCCGAAATCCCACCGTGAGAGAAGTACATGGTTGCTTGAGGATGCCAAACAGAAACAAAAGCAGCACGTCGAGGAGTGCCACTAGATCCAAACTCATGGCAAGCAGCACGCCTTCAATGATAAATCGGATTGTACCACTACGACTACTAGGACTACTAGGACTACTAGGACTGCTAGGACTACTAGGACTGCTAGGACTACTAGGACCACTAGGACTACTAGGACTACTAGGAC